AAGGTTTTAGAACGGTTCCTGTCCTTAGTTGTACTCTATCACCCAGTAGGAATTTTTTACCTACGAATGGATAGTGCCGCTGCAGCGAGTCCGGTTTATGCATATTAAGTATACATCGAAAATTTGTTTTTGAGAATCAATGTGAAGTAATTGCAGAAACAATTAACCAGTTTGCTGAGCAACCTTTTTTATTCGACGCGCTGAATTTGAATCCGACGTCAGTTATCCCCCATCACGCCAGGTTCGTGGTCTTTTGAAGGTCAAGTAGGGAAAAATTAATTGAATAAACCTGAAAATTCATATCGTCACCTGAAATGCAAGAAGACGTAACCAACATCATCGTTGAAATGCAAAAAGTCATAACTAATGAGAAATTCTAAATTCACTTTTTGATTTATATGATGGATTTCATCGAACTACAACTCCCCACATCGTTTTATGAAAAAAAAATTATTAGTCACGACTTCTTCCATTTCATTTACCATGTTATTACGTCTTTTTGCATTTCAGGTGACGATATATATGGGGTTTTCAACTCGCTGAATGCGAGGTCCGTTAACCCCCATAATGTCAGGTGCGAGGTAACTTGAGGGCCAAATAGAACAAAAAATGTATTCAATTAAAATAAGAACAAAATTTTATTACTCTCGCATGCCAGAAACATAAATGTGTCAAAATTAAAATTTTGAGAAATCAAGTTTGAAAGTTTTTTACGAGACTTATCTCTGAATTCATGTAATTGACATTGTGAAATACATATGTGTTTTGCGTGTACGCACGGTATTATGGGTTTTGGCATAACATAGAACATCGAAAGGTTAATCAAGTCAACGCAATAATTCAAAATTGGTAAATTTGCACATTCATGCTTCTGGCATAAGGGTGACGGTATGTATTTACTTCACATTTATTTATTTTTTTACGCCTGTTCTACATATTTTTGTAGTATGGAAATAGTAGTTATACTTCGACACCTGAGTGGAAGATCGACCTATTTTGGCAGCCAGTTCACAAACGCCCGAACTCAGAAAACTTTTCAGGAACGTCCTATTTCAGAATTTGTATTGAAAAATACCCAGAATTTGGTTTAAAAATGCCCTATTTCAGAATTCGGTTGCAAAACGCCCTATCTCAAATGAAAATATGTATATTGAAAATGTGCTGAGATATTGCGTTTGTGAACCGAATTCTGAGAAAGGGCGTTCTTCAATAAAATTCTGAGATAGGGCATTCTTTAACCAAGTTCTAAAATAAGGCGTTCTGGAAAAGTTTTCTGAAATGAGGCGTTTTGGAACTGGCTGCCGAAATAGGTGGAGTTTCCACTCAGGTGTCGATTTCCTGTTAATATTCCTCTAGTCCAATGTAAGTTTAGTACTCTACTCTACTTACTGAACTAAATTTATATTTGGCCATTAGTTAATATTGTCTTTTCAAATGCATATATATTAATAAGGATTAATCAATCAACTACATTAAAATTTCGAAATAAAAATTTCGAGGAATTTTTTTATGTCAGCCCCCCCCCCCCCCCCCCCCCCCCCTAAATTCGATCCTGGCGACGCCCATTTTAGGGTTGCTCTTAAAGTTTCCCTTTTTCAATAAACATATATGTAGATTGTTCTGTTGATTATTTCGCTGGTCTACAGACGAAAGAAGGCAAGAACCAGCATTGCCGAATTGACGTTTTGACGATTTTTATTTTAGTTTTTCGACCAAATGACATACGTATGTATGTAAAAAATTTGTTACAAGAAAACGTAATCCAAAATACAACTATGCATTTATCTAGCTTTGTTCTACCACCGTGCTTTAAGTTATATTAAATTTGTTCTAGAATTGTAGCCAAATCGTTAATTTGCACTGCAGACACTGATTTGTAAGAGACAGTAAAGTAGGAGAGGGACTTTGTTCAGGCAGGTGTGAAGACCCCTACTTTAAAACTGGATCAAAATCTTCAAAAACTTTAAACCAATGGAGTTCAACTATTTAAAGGCAGTTGTATTTTAGATTGCAGTTTTAAATTGTTGTTAGCAATTGTAAATCCACTTTTATTAACCCATATGCAATGTGGGTTCCATTTGGTTTTGTAATGTGTGGTCATATTTATTGGGCCGTATCACAGTGGTCTAGATCGACCGAAAAGCTGGCCAAAATTGGAACTTCAAAAGTATATGTTTGAAAGTATATTTTTTTACGTTTTTTGGGTCGAGGAATTCGAATTTGATGTCAAAAATGTGAAATACAAAATGGCTGACATAAAATGGCCGACCATATTTGTTGAAAATCGAGCTATTCTAGTGAAAATCGAAACTGACTGTTTTTTTGTATCAAGAAATCCAAATTTATTGTTGAAAGTGTAGAAAACAGAATCGCTGACACAAAATGGCTAAAAACATATGTTAAATATTGTGCCCATTTTAAGAACAGTTTCATGTTATTTGTTACATCTGGATGCAGCGATTCGATTATTTCTTTTTAAGATGATAACAATCTACTTGTCGTGTGAACAAGCAATGTTTGCAATGGAATTTCCGTACTTGTCTTCAAAGGGGGGGGTGAAATAACACAAACGGCAATAACGCAAAATTTGCTTTATTTCACTTTTAAATGGGAAATAATAATAATAATAATTTTCATTTCAGTAGTTGGAGGGTAACAACGGTTTTTCGCAGTTACTACTTTTTCAAAAGCAGGATACACAGAGCCACGTCGGTTTTCGTTAGTCACTGATCTTGCCAAAAGATAGGCCTCTTTTGTCAAATTCGCTGTTATAATTAAATGCAATGCAATGTCCGGAGATATGTATCTCTTGAAGGGGCTCTTCTAATGACTTTCTGCAAGCGATCTGAAATTTTAAAACTCTTCGTGACGTCGTACACGAAACTTCTTTCAGAACATTTGATGCATTTGGGGCTCCAGATGCACGCAAACTCATATGCGTGGCGTATACTAACTCAGACGTTGAGTATGATGATCTTGGCGATTCGGTCTTTCTTCTTTTGCTCCTAAAAATCAGATGAATGGCGACCACGACTTCCCGAAGATGGTTCATTATAAGTTGACTACTTTTGTTTTTGATTTGCTTTCATCAAAATCTAAGAACAAAATAATAATTTAAATAGTAATAGTAATTTGCGCTAACTCACCTTTATTTTTACGGATGAATTGCACCAGTTTTCGTTTTTTTTTTTAAACGGCCATATGATATGTGAGCCGCTTTCCATTTTACTTCAAACTGTGAAAATAAGTTTTTGACTCTTTCCCGTTCGTTAAGGTTGATGACAATTTGATCAATATTTATCAATGTAGGTATTTTCTCTTCTAAAATTTTAAGTTTTTCATTATAGCTCGACTTAAGAGTTTTCTCGTAGAGCCTCAAAAATTGCCTTCCGAGTGCACTGTATTTCAGAAATTTCCGACTCTGTTGTGTTGTTGTTGTTGTTGTGTAACATATTTTTTTGTTTTGAAACGTTAGCTACTAAAATTTGTTCAATCCTAAGACACAAACTGTGGCGCCCACAAAGAACGTGGACGAGCGCGCGCTGACAAACAAATTGATAATAAATAGTGCTGCAAATAGTTGCAGCTGTTTCTCAAAAATTTTTATTCGCTAGCCATTTATTTTAAAAAATTTACCGAAACTAAGACCAATGGTCACCAATACAA